ACATGATATACTAATTGCAGTCAGAGGGTCACAAAAACGCCATTGGCGGGAAGTTAAAAACGTCCATCATGTACTAAACGATAACAATGCTGCAGTCAAATGGAGTAAGTGCACATTTTTTGTCCAAGAAACTGAATTATTGTGGTTCCGATTGTCTAAAAAGGGTACAGTCCCTGTGGAAAGGAAGATCACTTCCATCGTTAATAAGAAAAAACTTGAAACTATTACGCTCCTTAATCCGGTTCATAAACCAATTTGTTAGATTCATCCCGAATCTAGATGCAACAACGGTGCCTTTTCGAATCTTGATGAAGAAACATTCGAGGTTTGAATGTGGTTCTAATCATAACAAAGCTTTTGAAGAAAAATGAAAAAAACGGCCGGAAATTTTGTCCAAAATCATCATTTTGATGTCGAAAAACAAACGACATAAAATAGGACACTTCAAAACAAATGTTGAGGGGCGTGTTGGAATAACTTCATACCCACGGCTGAAAACCAATTTCTTATGCTTCGAGACTCTTGAATGAGGCTGAGCAAAAGTACATCATTAATGAATTAGAGCTATTAGCGGTCGTTTGGGTGGTGACTCAATATCAAAACTATTACCGGTATGGGGCGCTACTAAGTACTTATTGGTTTGCATCGATATATTTTCGAAAATCCCTTCGATACAGATCACCACAAGAACAACTGCTACTGTGATTAAAGAACTTTTTGAAAATTACATTGCACTGCACGCGATTCCTAGGACAATCCGTACATACCAGGGGTCGGGTTTCTTTGCAAAATCGATACGGGAAAATTGCACCACTAATATTATTGAGTTAATTTTCGCCCCGTTAGGGCAGCATCGTGCCACGGGATAAGTGGAAAGATGCATAAGTAACCTGCCAGAAGGTCTCATTGCATAGTCGTTTCAAAAACCACGATCGTCGCTTAGGTCAGCTTTAATTAAGATTTTATTCACAATTCGAACAAAAACCCATCAATCAATGAGATGTTCGCCATTTGAGGCTCATTTTTTTGTCGTAAACCAAACACTGTCTTGCATACGGTCGCAAAAAGCGCTTCATCGATTAATTTATCTTGGAGGAATGTTTTGTCTTCTCTAGATCGCGACAACAGGATGTTCCCAGTCTGAGTTTTGCAGGAATAAACAAGTACGGATGACGCCACTACCATGGGCATGTACAGTCGGATAGAGCATCCGCTGCCGGAGTTGACGCCTTTTCTTACTTCCACGAAAAAGGCGCCAGTCTTATTTGCCCACCATAAAGGTTTTCATATATTTCGGAAAAAGCAGGATCGGTTGAAATTGCACCCATATTTTGAACTTTGAAATGAGAGAGTAATGCGGGAGTACGATCATACTAGTACGTTGGATTCGGGAAAGTTGGTACAGAAATATGATGTTTCGATCAGTGTAGGTGGTTTCGACTTAGAGTCACTGGCGACTCAGGACAAATCTTCGCCACGACGGCCAACAGATCCCTGCAAGGAAATGGCGTTGCAAGCCACCGTCGAACACCGCCTTGACCTCACGATGACCATTGGGCGATGTAATGGGAACGGCAAACCATCACATTTGTTTGGATTGTTTTGATAGTTCATCAGATGGTTCGATTTCAACGGATAGCCCGACGGTTAATCGAAATATTATCAGGCTATTAACCAAAACCACCGAGTGTAATTCCGAAAGAACCGCAAAATGTAACGGAGGTCAAGAGAGAAAAAATACCGCCTACTGAACTCATCGTGCCGTATTCCAGTTCAGGAGAAAGCAGTGTTGTACGAATGAAGACGGAGACCCGAGGACAACAATCAACGCCGATTTTGTTATGATCCTCGGACGAAACGAAAGATGTACCAAAAACGACAGCCCATGGCTCGATGGACATGGACATTCGGGAAGGAAATGTACAGAGCAACGTAAAGGGCGAATTAACGTCGACCATATAGGCGTTCAAAAAGAAAACAGGAGTAAGGGGTCTTACACTTGAGAACCTTTCTCATGAGGGGCCGATTGCTAGTAACCCCTAAATCGGTAGTGCGCCATAACACGAGGCCACTTACAGATAGACGACCGCCTAAAGTTTTGGGAGACCGTTTCTTCACAAGTGCGGTTACTATGGTAACGCAAGGAAAAAATGTGATAACGGCCAAAGATTCGTCGGACGAGGACCGTAATAAACTGCCGCCAGCAGCCTCAGGAATGACAGGTGGCATGACTATCAGCAGACCACGAGGGGAAGCTCAGTTGGGGGAGCGGACATCACCTAAGAAAGAGTCGATCAGCCCGAAGAAAACCCGAAGTTCAAAGAAACGTAATGCAGAGGATACGTATTTCGGTAGATAAATGTGTAGTTTCAATTGGAGCGACGACTACATCCACGACAATATAACCGGCCTGAAGGAAAAGGTGTCGGGGCAATTTGTCGATGTGCTGGACAAATTACGACAAATTATAAAACATACTAACAGCTTACCATCGTTGGTCGACGCCTGTGGCGACAACGTGGATGGAATCCGCATCCTAGCATTATACCTGGGACTGAAGGCACGGAGCCGAAATAGTCGAAAGAGCCTGGCGCTTCAAAAAATGGTTGACGTTGCACAAACTGAAATACAGCCGACGAGGGAGGCTCTAGATAATGCTGGTCTTGCATTTTTAGACAAATTAACGGCCGAAGCGGGAATATTTTTTGTTGTGTTACGCCGGATTAGTGGTACCGGCACTAATAGTTCTACCAAAAAAAATTGGCTCTTCGACAGATACGCAGGGGTATCAGCCATCAACTCTTTTGGCGATGGATAAAGTGGATACAAGCTCGGGCCCATTATTAGCCCAAGTAGGGCCGACGGTGACTTACCAGCCAGTTATACAACCGAAGGCCAGTAAGGACATTCTGACAATATGCGAATTGAGCACAAAACAAATCGAGCAGGGAGCAAGCCAACATCAGTGGTGACTCCAGGGGCGCAACGGCCACCAATGATTTGGACATTGTGGGCGAAATGTCGGCCATTAGTATGACCGATCAGGACCAGCGGCAGATATTGGAGGAGTTGAAAACCTTTGACGTGCTCTTTTGTGTTGCCATGAGTAAGCTGCAACCCGGAGGACCAACCCGAGAAGAGAAACGGGTTGAGTTGAATTAAAAACTAGTTCATTAGATTTGTAAACGGATGATTGACTGATTAAACTTAGTGCAGTAACCTGTTGGATACTATGATGTAATTGACTTAGTTGAAGGGAGAGTGTAGTGGAGACTGTTATGCTGGTTATGTAATTATGTTAGAAACACTATAAGGCATGGTTCTTATGTAAAATGATCAAGGTAAATGTTATAGAGGTAAACGGTGGTACTGCGAATGGCCAGTGGCGAACATGTCCTTCGATAATTTAAAACGTTATATTTCTCTCTTGTTTTGTTGACCTCTACTCATTTCTATACGGAGGTCAGAAATGCTTCCACACCTCCCCTTACGCAACTATTTTTCGCCCATCTCGTTATTTTACGCCCCCTACCCCGTCATTATCATGATGAGGGGTAGAGGGTAAACGTTGAGCTGGGAATAGGTAACGTGGTTTTTTGTGGTTGGAAAGTTGGGTCTTGGGGATTGTCGAATAACAGTGAAGTCAAAGAGGAACAAAAAACAATTTATTACAAAAATGCAATCGAATTGAGAAAAATGTGAAATTGAAAGAAACCACAAAAAAACTAATTTTAGTTTAAACTCATTTTAGAATAAATGGACCTACCACTCGAAAAGAGGTTAAAAATATTGATATTATTCATAATAATCAATCAAAATGGATTGCATTTTTTAACGATTCAAAGTTCAAAAACATGTTGAAAATGGTTGATTATAACCGATTAAAAAATGAGCTTATTCCTTTCAAAAATAGTTATTTTATAAAACCATTTTTATCAAATTTTAATGGATGTTTCTGAATAATTAGATAAACAGGCGGCTCTTTTCCACTCCATCCAACCCTTTCCGTGTTTTTCTTTTTTCTGGTTGTTCTAGGTATCATTATAACAAAATGTGTGATGTTAAGATGTGAGGTATGAAGAACAAAAGTGTTCACATTTGTTAGGTTTTCAACATGCTTTATGTAATAGTTACATTGCATTATTGTAACAAGTAAGTGGTTTTTAAAAATTGAACTCAAACGGCGAAGGAAAATGGAAAGGAGCCAGACAGACTATAAAAACCCAATATAATCAATTTCTATTCATGAAACAGATGTTTCAATTTTTTTTGTAAACAGTGGCATTGATGGAACAGTTCAACGTGTGTCCACAAGGGCATTGTGGCATGTCCATGGCGGATTTAGTTTTCTCTTGAGGGGGTGGGGCGGTTTACTAAAAAAAATTCCAAAATTTTGTCGACTTTCTTTGGATCGACCAAATTGATTTTCCGAGCACTCCCAGAACACTATAAAGATTTTATTTTGAACAAAAACTTTGCGCCGCAGGTTTTTGTTCGAAAAAAGGAAAAAACCTTATTTTGAAAAAGCAGGTCAAAAAAACCGTTTTTGAGCACTTTTTGGAAATTTTTGACCTAAAAATTGCGTTTACTCGGCGCGGGCTTCCCTTCAAAGTTTGGCACACTTTTACATTTTGGCACCCAAGGAACCTTTAGAAAATTTTAATACGGTTGTTTGGCCTAAAATGGTTGTCATAAAATAATACCAAAGGAGGGACCCTATGGTTGGTGAGGGGTTCGAATCCCTGAGAGGAGAGGCGTACATCACCCTAAATCCGCCCCTGTGTACATCGGTAGCAATTGTGCCCGTGTTGCAATCTGATTTCGGGTTCAAATCGCACATGCGCTGCAATTTACAAGGCTGCAATCTACAACTTGAGCTCTTGTATCTTGCAAAATTGCCATCGATTAGGTAAGTTTAACTAATTAATTTCCGGGCTAGGCCTCTGAACTAAAAACCCTGTTTAGGTATCTGCCTGTTCAATAAGATAATTATTAGCTACCTTTGTGGTTGCATATCGAATATATTTGAAGGGGAGCGAGATTGAGATTGTCCTGTCTACTGCACAAGTCATGATCACAGCCGCCTTCAGATTAGGTAGGAACATGTTGGCGGCCGCCTGACATGTACACAGAGGGGTGTTCTTCCAAGGTACATCCCCGTACGCTGTCGAGAACACAGTCGGCAGAATTATTACCTACAAAAAAGATCAAATAAACAACTTATCTCTAAAAAAAAGTTTATGTAAACAATCACATGTTTGAAATAAAATCTGCAAACGTTCACAAAGTTCTATCACAATTTCGTTTTCAATAGTTTTTTTTCCTTTTGAGGATTCCAATACACTTTTTGTGGAATCTGTTACTTTCTTTGAGATCTACAAGTTTTTTTCGAACATTTTGTTGACTTTTTAGGTCGCCCATGAGCTTTGCTAAAACATTATACAGATATAATTCGGCGCCGCATGAAAATGGTTTTTTTTTAGTTCATTTGTTGGAAAGTTTTTAACGAAAAAACATTTTTTTTGGCACACTCTTCTCCTCAAATTTAAATAAAATTTCGAAAAAATTCTCATCATTGATAGCCAGAAATGTTGGTCGTAAAACAGAAGCCCCTCCCTCCTACTCCGCTCCTGTCTCCTATGATAATGTTTTTAAGCTGAAAGGACTCTGAATTCTTACTCTGAACTCTTAAGGCGGAGTTTGTTTCATAGGGTCAGGGGTACTAAATCAAAATGTTAATCTTGAATTGTCACAAGACTGCAGAAAAAATTAGGAACATCTGGTTTGCTCCCGCTATCTCAAAAAAGAGTTCTAAAAGCCGAGAAAATTTCTGGTTTTGGTTATAATCAACAGTTTGATTTAGTATATTCAATTATTGGAACGTAGGTGCCAGCAAATATTTGGTGGAGTTAACAACTGAAACTTGGCAAGATAGCATTTGGTTTTAATATCTTGGTTTTTGCATACATGTTTCCAGTGGACACTATTTATGCAAATACCACACATGAAGCAGATGGTATAATGTCTACTGCTTAATTATTTCCATGTCAATCCGAGGGTGAATTGCTCTTAAAGAACATGTGTCAAAACAAAGTCTGCTGTTTTGGCTTTCCGAAGTAGCTGCCTTAAAAAACTTCTTCAAATAGAGGAAAACAGTTATGATTATATCAGTAAAATGAGGAAAACTAGTTTATGAATTTTGTATGACCATTGCAATCCCATATGGTACCCAGCAAAGAATATCAAGCATTATAAAGGCTTAATTCAACAACTCGAGAATCGACTATACTGTGCCTAGAAATGAAAACACATTTGACAATAGCGGAAAGTTTAACTTCCTGGTTTCAAAACAAATTTTATTGCCAAGTGAAAAATAAAAGTGAATGATTCATCGCAGAATTGGGCCAAATGAGGTCTTATTTCATTTTTGATTTAAAAAAAACGGAAAACTTTTATTCCTACCACCGAAAGCTGAGAAAACAAAATAGACTGATTGTATCAAGTCAAATTCCAAAGAATGCCCGTCGATTGTTTTGATATTTGGTGCTTCACAAAGTATAGACATATTTCTTTAATTTTTTGTACGTTCATATGAAATTTTTGACGCCTTGAGCTCAAATTTAAGAATGATAAGTGGCGTGCTAAAAGTGTAGAGGATAGCGATCTACAAAATTTACCTACATTTGCTTAGGTATATATGAAATATACCAAGCATTTTAAAATATGGTCTACAAACGTAGATTGTGAATTACTCTTAAAATATTGAAAACTTTGCAGAAAACTTGAAAAATGAGTACAGATTATTGAATTTTGAATTGATTATATTAAATTAAGAACTGAGAAAAATTGAATTTTTAGATTATAATCATTGGCGTGGTCTCAGAAGAAAAAAAAACAGATTAAAATGGCACTCTTTGTAAACGCCGGGTTCAGACAATTCTGTCATAGACAATTCAGCCAATTTCAAGTTCAGACAGTTCAGTCAAAATTAGTGAGACAATTCGACTAAAGACTATTCAAAGAGTTAGGAAATATAAAACTTGCGCTCAAAAACTTTTCACAAAACATCAGAGTTTTAATTGACGACTGATAATTAATTCCTTTCAAATGCACAAAATTAACATGACCAAAACTATCTAAGCAAAATAGAGTTTTATACAAACCAAAATACTTTCAAATTGAAAATAACGTCTAAATAGAAATCAAACTCAACAAAAAACTGCACAATACCTAGGAATTAACCTATATACAAGACAACTGGCCCTGAACTGAGAATATTGAACGTAGTAAAAAAAAAAGATATCAGTTAAAAGGTTGACCACCACTACCACGTACAAGCCAAACAATTATGCTAATATTCGTATCATGCCTTGGGCGGGGGAGGACGCAGCCGCTTATCAGAAATTTTGAGTAGTTGTTAGAAGATAGTCCAAAGATAATATTATTGCGATTAAAACTTTGTTCAGCCAAAAGCCAGTACTGAGTTTGTCGTCTAGTTTTTTTTTCAGTTTGTACGACGTATACAAAGTTGATTACTCCTCATTGGTAATTAGTTTGAACAATTGATTGATTAGTTTTAGGAACTTTCTTATACATTGTTTTTTACCAAAAATTGACTTATAATATGGAATTGTTTCATCTGAACGCCGAAAAAAGCATCTTTGACTTGATTTTAAAAGAAACTGTGAAAAAAAAACACTTAAGACAGGCCTCATAAAGTGCAGGCCACATTCAGAAATTGCAGAGCAGTGGGTTACTCGAAAGAACAGCAAAATTTAACCTTGAAAACGGAGCACGCTCATTTACCGAGCCTCTCAAAAATTCAAGCTAAGAAGTTTGTTAACGAAGTTCGAGAAAAAGCCACAAACTCTGGTAGCACTCTCTGATAGATTGTCATCAACGCCCATAATGAGTCATATGTAGCATAAATTAGTGGTTGCATAAACAGACAAAATAAAAATAGAATAATCGTAACAATCCAAGCTCCAAAGACTGCTCAACGTTTACTTAGTAATTGTTTTTTTTTCAAAAAGTGTAGATATATTTCATTATCATATTCATTATTTCGTTCGTTTTCGATTCGACTATCGATGAAAAAGACGGAATGTTTAAGCTTGGGGTGGTTTTGCTAGAAAAATTTAGCTTTTTTTAACTTGCCATTTTTGACAGTACTTCTTGCATCCAAAAGCTAATGATTTTCCGAAGCCCAAGTTAAAAAATAGTTTGCCCGTCAAAACTTTTTCATTAGTTATGAGGGTTTGAAAATTGACGGTTTGGGCACACTGGGATAATTAAAACGCGATTTTTTCTCTCCCCTTTGGGTTCGATCGTTAAAAATAAGGGGGAGCGCACGCCGAAAATATTTTTGGTCAAAAGTATTTTTTGGTCATAACTTTGCTTCATCGAAACATCACTCTTGATTTTTTTTCTATAAAGCTGACCGGCCAACCGAATTTTTGGGGCAAAACTGTGTCTTCATAAACCTTTGAAAGAGCTCGGAATATCAGTTCGGACGGTCTAAAACCAAAGATTGTTTTCGATAATTTTCAAAAAACACCGCCCTTAAAGATATCCTAGATTCGCGCGTAACCGCAGAAAAAATTTAAGAAAACCCAATGAATTTAATACGTTCCCTAGCGTAATTTTAGCAACTGCAGGGCTTTTCAGCCTAATATAGCATCAAAATTTCTAAAATTATGTGTATAAGCTCCGGTGAACTATTTTCCTTCGATCTGTCGTTCTGTCATAAAATGATTGCAAAGAGTAATTTCCGTTTGCATCACTGATCCCGAAAAATAATTCCGCTTACTAAGCTCGTCACGTATTCACTGGCGCGGGTAGATATGGCATTTTTATGCTGATCGACTTTTTAACACCAGTTTTTAATTAGCGGATTTATAAGCCGAATGGCTGATAAAAATCGGACTATCTGCAGGCGTAGACAAGTTACGAACGGCAATAAATTCAACTTTAATTTGGACCTCCGGTAAATGCCATCTAAGTCTTTTGTATTTATTAACCAACTTACTTCGCAAACAAAAACTCAAATCCCAGTAGAATGAAAACTTTTAGTTACACAGAAAAGACCATTTTTATTTGACAGTACTTTTTTGCATGCAAAAGCTATTGATTTAAGCCAACTGTAAGTCAATTTAGGCTAAAAAGAGTAGAATTAAGAATTCAAAAACTGATGTTAAGCCAAATGTAACTCAATTTAGGCTAAAAAACTAGAATGAAGAATTCATAAAATATTCAGCTAAAATAACGCGAAGTGACTGCGCATAAACCGTTTAAAAAGCAGGAAAAAAAATTTGATTGAACATTATAAAAAAAATCAAAGTCTCTCAAACGGATGAACACAAAAAGTTCAATCAATTTGAAAGGGGTTTAATTTTACTTGTGTTTCAAAATGGTGGCAACTTGTTTGTGCTTTCCATTTTTTTCCATTTCAGCGTCAACAGTTTTTTCAATGCTGGCAAAAGATGGAAAAAAAATAGTCTGAGGACAGTTCTATTTTCGGCCTATTAATTGGTCTGTTTTGACCAAAAATTGTGATCTTTTGGGATGATGATGAGTTTTCAGTGAAATGAGTCCAAATAGAACCTTCCGGGGACCAGGGAAAAAACGTCCAGAAGTAATTTCGTATTAGCATTTCCATAATTACTCGAAGAACGCAGCAAGTTAGCCAGTAGTTAAATTTATGCAGTTCCTATAGGATTTTTTAAATTAGCGTAGACAGTTCCCAGATTGTTCATTATTCTTATTATTCGTTCAATGACTTTTAAGCTATGTATGGATTGTATATTATGCACAATTTTATGCTCAAAGAATTTTTCAAAATACAAATGTAAGAAAAAAACCGCTATATTCAAAACTTCACATACTTATCTAAACTATGGCAAGTAATCATTAACAAATTACCAAAAAGACTGCTCGTATCAGTCCGATTCCGACCAAGGTCTATGAAAAAGTCGAGTTTTTTTACCCCATCTCAGGGGCGGATTTAGGGGGGGGGGCGGGGGGGCGGACGCCTTCTCTCCCCTCAGAGATTCGAACCCCTGCCAACCCAAAGGGTCCCCCCTTTGGTACTTTTTAAGAAATCCATTTTTGGCCGACCGACCCTGAAATTTTTCTAAAGGCGCCTTTGGCGCCAATATATACTAATTTTGAGGGGGAGCGCGCGCCAAAAAAATGC